GGCTGGGGAATCCCCCCCATTTGGAAATAAATGAGTTAATTGAATTAATTGAATTAATTGAAATAATTAAATTAATTCAATTAATTCAATTAATTCCACCTCCCCTTTGGAAATAAATGAATTAATTGAATTAATTGAATTAATTGAATTAATTCAATTGAATGAATTCATTTATTTCCAAAGGGGGGGGTGGGGGCGTGTGCAGCTTAAATAGGGTCTATTTGGAAGCTGGGAATCGTATTTACAAGAGGAAAACAGGCCCCAAAACGTATACTTATTCACAAGAGCCATGTTCCAAATAGTCCCTATTTTAGGTCCTGTAGGGTTGCACAGACAGAATTTAATTCATTAAATTCCTTAATTTCCACTTTCCCCCTGGAATTTAATGAATTTAATCAATTAATTCAATTAATTCATTTATTTCCAAAGGGGGGGGTGGAATTAATTGAATTAGTTGAATTAATTGAATTAATTGAATTAATTGAATTAATTGAATTAATTGAACCCCCCCTTTGGAAATAAATGAATTAATTGAATTAATTGAATTAATTGAATTAATTGAATTAATTGAATTAATTGGAATTAATTCAATTAATTCAATTAATTCCACCCCCCCTTTGGAAATAAACGAATTAATTGAATTAATTGAATTAGTTGAATTATTTCGATTAATTCAATTAATTCAATTAATTCATTTATTTCCAAATGGGGGGGATTCCCCAGCCCCCACCCCTCCCCCCCCTTTGGAAATAAATGAATTAATTGAATTAATTGAATTAATTGAATTAATTCAACTAATTCAATTAATTCAATTAATTCAATTAATTCATTTATTTCCAAAGGGGGGGTGGAATTAATTGAATTAATTTAATGTCAATTAATTCAATTAATTCAATTAATTCAATTAATTCAATTAATTCATTTATTTCCAAATGGGGGGGATTCCCCAGACCCCACCCCCCCAGCTCGATTTGGCCAAATTTTGCCCGGAGGCTGCCCGGCAAAATTTGGCCAAATCGAGCCGCGCCTTTCTGGAGGCCCGAAATGATTTAAACTATCGCGGCTCGATTTGGCCAAATTTTGCCGGGCAGCCTCCGGGCAAAATTTGGCCAAATCGAGCCACGCATTTCTCATCGCATACGAAGGGCAGCCCGATTTGGCCAAATTTTGCCCGGAAGCTGCCCGGCAAAATTTGGCCAAATCGAGCCGCGATAGTTTAAAAAATTCGGGCCTTCAGAAAGGCGCGGCTCGATTTGGCCAAATTTTGCCCGGAGGCTGCCCGGCAAAATTTGGCCAAATCGAGCCGCGCATTTCTCATCGCGTTCGACGAGCAGCCCGATTTGGCCAAATTTTGCCCGCAGACTGCCCGGCAAAATCTGGCCAAATCGAGCCGCGCCTTGCTGGAGGCCCGAAATTATTTAAACTATCGCGGCTCGATTTGGCCAAATTTTGCCGGGAAGTCTGCGGGCAAAATTTGGCCAAATCGGGCTGCTCGTCGTACGCGCTGAGAAATGCGCGGCTCGATTTGGCCAAATTTTGCCGGGCAGCCTCCAGGCAAAATTTGGCCAAATCGAGCCGCGCATTTCTCATGGCATACGAAGAGCAGCCCGATTTGGCCAAATTTTGCCCGCAGGCTGCCCGGCAAAATTTGGCCAAATCGAGCCGCGATAGTTTAAATAATTTCGTTCAATTAGTTCATTCATTTCCAAATGGGGGGGATTCCCCAGCCCCAACCCCCCCCCTTTGGAAATACATGAATTAATTGAATTAATTGAATTAATTCAATTAATTCAATTAATTCAATTAATTAAATTAATTTATTTATTTCCAAAGGGGGGGGTGGAATTAATTGAATTAATTGAATTAATTCAATTACTTCAATTATTTCCAAATGGGGGGATTCCCCAGCCCCCACCCCTCCCCCCCCTTTGGAAATAAATGAAGTAATTGAATTAATTGAATTAATTGAATTAATTGAAATATTTAAATTAATTCAATTAATTCAATTAATTCCACCTCCCCTTTGGAAATAAATTAATTAATTGAATTAATTGAATTAATTCAACTAATTCAATTAATTGAATTAATTCATTTATTTCCAAACGGGGGGGGTGGGGGCTGGGGAATCCCCCCCATTTGGAAATAAATGAATTACTTGAATTAATTGAAATAATTGAATTAATTCAATTAATTAAATTAATTCCACCTCCCCTTTGGAAATAAATCAATTAATTGAATTAATTGAATTAATTCAATTATTTCAATTAATTCAATTAATTCATTTATTTCCAAATGGGGGGTGGGGGCTGGGGCATCCTCCTCCCCCCAATACTAAACCACGAGCCCGGGCCTCCCCCCAATACTAAATCACGAGCCCGGGCCTCCCCCCAATACTAAATTACGAGCCCGGGCCTTCCCGCAATACTAAATCACGAGCCCGGGCCTCCCCCCAATACTAAATCACGAGCCCGGGCTAAATCACGAGCCCGGGCCTCCAAATTACGAGGCCGGGCCTCCCCCCAATACTAAATCACGAGCCCGGGCCTCCCCCCTGAATCACGAGCCCGGGCCTCCCGCAATACTAAATCACGAGCCGGGCCTCCCCCCAATACTAATTTACGAGCCCGGGCCTCCTCCCAATACTAAATCACGAGCCCTCCTCCCCCCAATACCAGGGCACAGTTTTTGCTCCAAAAAGTGACATGGCAAGCCCTGGTCCCTAAGATTTTGAGCTCATTTCTTGCCCCAAAGAGTAACATCGCAAGCTCGGTCCCTAAGATTTTGGGCTCATTTCTTGCCCCAAAGAGTAACATCGCAAGCCCTGGTCCCTATTATTTGGGGCCCAGTTTTTGCTCCAAAGAGTCAAATCGCAAGCCCTGGTCCCTAAGATTTTGGACTCAGTTTTTTGCTCCAAAGCAAGCCCTGGTCCTTAAGATTTTGGGCTCATTTCTTGCTCCGAAGAGTCAAATCGCAAGCCCTGGTCCCGAAGATTTCGGGTTCAATTTTTGCTCCACAGAGTCAAACCGCAAGCCCTGGTCCCTAAGATTTGGGGCACAGTTTTTGCTCCAAAGGGCCAAATCGCAAGCCCTGCTCCCTAAGATTTTGGGCTCATTTCTTGCCCAAAAGAGTGACATCGCAAGCCCTGGTCCCTAAGATCTTGGGCCCAGTTGCTCCAAAGAGTCAAATCGCAAGCCCTGGTCCCTAAGATTTTGGGCCCAGTTTTTGCTCCAAAGGGTCAAATCGCAAGCCCTGGTCCCTAAGATTTTGGGTTCAATCTTTGCTCCAAAGAGTAACATCGCAAGCCCTGGTCCCTAAGATTTGGGGCCCAGTTTTTGCTCCGAAGAGTCAAATCGCAAGCCCTGGTCCCTAAGATTTTGGGTTCAATTTTTGCTCCCCTAAGATTGGGGGCCCAGTTTTTGCTCCAAAGAGTGACATCGCAAGTCCTGGTCCCTAAGATTTTGGGTTCATTTTTTGCTCCAAAGAGTGACATCGCAAGCCCTGGTCCCTAAGATTTGGGGCCCAGTTTTTGCTCCAAAGAGTAACATCGCAAGCCCTGGTCCCTAAGATTTTGGGTTCATTTTTGCTCCAAAGAGTGACATCGCAAGCCCTGGTCCCTAAGATTTGGGCCCCAGTTTTTGCTCCAAAGAGTGACATCGCAAGTCCTGGTCCCTAAGATTTTGGGTTCAATTTTTGCTCCAAAGAGTGACATCGCAAGCCCTGGTCCTTAAGATTTTGGGTTCGTTTTTTGCTCCAAAGAGTGACATCGCAAGCCCTGGTCCCTAAGATTTTGGGTTCATTTTTGCTCCAAAGAGTCAAATCGCAAGCCCTGGTCCCTAAGATTTTGCATTCATTGTTGCTCCAAAGAGTGACATCGCAAGCCCTGGTCCCTAAGATCTTGGGCCCAGTTTTTGCTCCGAAGAGTCAAATCGCAAGCCCTGGTCCCTAAGATTTTGGGTTCAATTTTTGCTCCAAAGAGTCAAATCGCAAGCCCTGGTCCCTAAGATTTGGGGCCCAGTTTTTGCTCCAAAGAGTCAAATCGCAAGCCCTGGTCCCTAAGATTTTGGGTTCATTTTTTGCTCCAAAGAGTGACATCGCAAGCCCTTGTCCCTAAGATTTTGGGCCCAGTTTTTGGTTCAAAGAGTCAAATCGCAAGCCCTGGTCCCTAAGATTTTGGGTTCAATTTTGCTCCAAAGAGTGACACCGCAAGCCCTGGTCCCTAAGATTTGGGGCCCAGTTTTTGCTCCAAAGAGTCAAATCGCAAACCCTGCTCCCTAAGATTTTGGGCACAGTTTTTGCTCCAAAGAGTCAAATCGCAAGCCCTGGTCCCTAAGACTTTGGGTTCAATTTTGCTCCAAAGAGTGACATCGCAAGCCCTGGTCCCTAAGATTTGGGGCCCAGTTTTTGCGCCAAAGAGTAAAATCGCAAGCCCTGGTCCCTTAGATTTTTGGGTCGATTTTTGCTCCAAAGAGTCAAATCGCAAGCCCTGGTCCCTAAGTTGTCGGGGTCGATTTGTGCTCCACAGAGTCAAATCGCAAGCCCTGGTCCCTAAGATTTCGGGGTCGATTTGTGCTCCACGGAGTCAAATTGCAAGCCCTGGTCCCTAAGATTTTGGGCCCAGTATTTGCTCCAAAAGGTGAAATCGCAAGCCCCGGTCTTTAAGATTTTGGGTTCATTTTTTGCTCCAAAGAGTAACATCGCAAGCCCTGGTCCCTAAGATTTTGGAATCGATTTTTGCTCCAAAGAGTCAGATCGCAAGCCCTGGTCCTAAAATGTTGGGCTCAATTTTTGCTTTTCCCTTCTCTTCTGCTGATAAAACACAAGAAAGGAACTCATATGATAAAGCAGTGGAAAGGTAAGCAGAGGGTGACTCCTTGCGCGTGAGCCTTTCCATAATACTCCATCATATTCATCCTCTCGGCCTATCTCTTCTGTTCCTTTCCTTACTCTTCTCCTTCTCATAGTTCTTCCTTTTTGTTTTTCTCATTTCGAAAAGAAAGAGGGAAGGGAGAAACAAGGGAGAGAGAATAGATAAAGAAGAGTGCCATCTTCTCTGCGCCTTGTTTTGTCTCTCCCTCTTCTCTATTCATCTGTCTTCTATTCTCTTCCTTGCTCTTCCCATTAAATATGCAATCCTTGGTATCTCTCCTCTCTCCTTCTCTCTTCCTCCAACAGATGTGCTTTTGGATCGTTTTCTGCATCTTCAAGCGAGAAAAAAGGACACAGACTGCGATTAAAAGGGACGCCCATGTTGGATTGGCAGCAAGCCCAGCTGATGCTCATGATTCTCTCTCTTTCCCTACACATGGGCGATGGAACGGGTGTCCTTTTCAATCGTTTTCTGCATCTTCAAGAGAAACAGGGACACCCCACAAGAAGGAAAAGCAACATAAGAGATAGGGAGGGAAATTGACCCTTTCCTCTCTTCTTATCTGCTATTTTTCTTATTCGCTTCAAAAAGCAACATAAGGGAAAGGGGATTTCCTGAAGAGGAGAGAGGGAACCTATCTGTGAAAAGCAAGAATGGTTTTTTCTAGTTCGAAAGGGAATAGGGAGAGACAAGGGAGAGATGATATGTACAGCTTTGCGCCTTATTTTGTGATTCCGTCTCCTTGCTTCCTGTCTCTTCTATTCCTTGCAGCACGCTTCGGGAAACATAGCATCCTTGTTATCTTTCCTCTCTCACTTCCCTTTCCCTTCTCTTCTTCCGCTTCCTTTTAACTGATAAAACACAAGAAAGGAACTCATATGATAAAGCAGTGAAAAGGTAAGCAGAGGGTGACTCCTTGCGCGTGAGCCTTTCCATAATACTCCATCATATTCATCCTCTCGGCCTATCTCTTCTGTTCCTTTCCTTACTCTTCTCCTTCTCATAGTTCTTCCTTTTTGTTTTTCTCATTTCGAAAAGAAAGAGGGAAGGGAGAAACAAGGGAGAGAGAATAGATAAAGAAGAGCGCCATCTTCTCTATTCATCTGTCTTCTATTCTCTTCCTTGCTCTTCCCATTAAATATGCAATCCTTGGTATCTCTCCTCTCTCCTTCTCTCTTCCTCCAACAGATGTGCTTTTGGATCGTTTTCTGCATCTTCAAGCGAGAAAAAAGGACACAGAATGCGATTAAAAGGGACGCCCATGTTGGATTGGCAGCAAGCCCAGCTGATGCTCATGATTCTCTCTCTTTTTCCCTACATATGGGCGATGGAACGGGTGTCCTTTTCAATCGTTTTCTGCATCTTCAAGAGAAAAAGGGACACCCCACAAGAAGGAAAAGTAACATAAGAGATAGGGAGGGAAATTGAAGAACTCCTCATTGTACTTGGTCATTCCCTTTCCTCTCTTCTTATCTGCCCATTTTCTGTGCGCCTTGTTTTGTCTCCCCCTCTTCTCCCATCATCTCTCTTCTGGTCTTTTCTTTGCTCTTCCCATTAAAAATGCAACCCTTTTTATGTCTCCTCTCTCCTTCTCTCTCCCTCCTCTTCTCCTGTTCCCTTCTAAACGACAAAAACGCAAGAAAGGAAGAATAAGAGGGGAATGGAGGCCCTGTTCCTTTTCCTCTTTCAATGGATGGGGGAAGTGGGCGGAGTTGGCCCCTTGCCCGTACACCCTCCCCATGCTTCAGCAAACCCCTCCTCTCGCCCTATCGCCTCTGTTTTTTTTCCTTGTGCCCAAACGGAAAACGAAAACGGGTTCCTTTATATGTTCATTGTCCTTCCTTTTGTTTTTTTATTTCACAGGGAAAAGAACCAGAGAAGAGGAAGATAAGAACGAGAGGTGAGATGAAAACGGCACCATCTTCTCTTTGCCTTATTTTTGCACCTCCCTCTCCTGTCTTAATTTCTCTTCCACTCTTTTTTTCCATTGCTCTTCCCATAATATTGCATTCCTTTTGATAACTCACAGGAAATTAAAATGGCCTCCTTGTTGTCTCTCCTCTCTCACTTCCCTTTCCCTTCTCTCCTTCTGTTTCCTTTTAATTTTAACTGATAAAACACAAGAAAGGAGCTTGTAAAATCAAGCAGTGGAAGGGTAAGCAGAAGGTGACTCCTTGTGCGTGGACCTTTGCCGTACTTCACCATACCCCTCTTTTCGGCCTATCTCTTCGGCTCTTTTCCTAACCCTTCTTCTTTTCATCTTTCTTTTTGTTTTTCTCATTTCGAAAAGACAGAGGGAACGGAGAGATAAGGGAGAGAGGATAGATAAAGAAGAGTACCATCTTCTTTGCGCCTTGTTTTATCTCTCTTCTATTCTTTTCTTGGCTCTTCCCATGAAAATCGTGTTCCTCTTATCTTTCCCTCCTTCTCTCCCTTCTCTTCTCCTCACGAGAGCCTTCGACTTTAGGATTGAGGAGAAAAAGAGAAGAGAAAAGAGGAACTACCTGGTTCTTGTTCCTGAGGCCTCCATAGTACGACTGACGTGACAGCAGCGTACCCTCGTGGAAACGTGTATGGCTATAAGAAAACCCGAGTCCCAGCTTCCAAATAGACCCTATTTAAGCCACCCACGGGGGGGGGGGGTGTTCGTAATGGGTTTAACCCTAAACCCTAAATGCAAAACCCTAGACCCCAAACGGGGTTTACAGACGCACGAAGCTCAGAGCGTAGATGTCCAGGGGGGGAAAATGTGGGAGCCCGGTGCCCAAAAAAGCCCAAAAGGGTTCTAGGTTTAGGGTTTGGGGTTTAGGGTTTTAGGGTTTAGGGTTTAGGCTTTAGGCTTAGAGTCCAAACTCCGAACCTAAACTGCCCGTGGGCCCGAAGCCCCTAAACCCCAAACCCTGTGCCCGAAACCCCAAACCCGAAACCCCTTAACCCCAAACCCCGAAAGCCCTAAAATGCAAAACCTCATTCCGACGTTCTCGTAAGGCGGGCTCCGGGGCCTTGGATGTCGGGCTTTAGCTGTTCAGGGCTTAGGGTTTGGGGTTTAGGGTTTAGGGTTTAGGGTTCAGGGTTTGCGTGTTTCTGCTTCAGGGCTTCGGGCTGAGGGTTGGGATCTTCGCCCTGATGCCAACAGTCCTTAATAGGGGGTACTCTAATCCCTATTAAGGAACTGTTACCCTAAACCCTAAACCCTAAACCCTAAACCCTAAACCCTAAACCCTAAACCCTAAACCCTAAACCCTAAACCCTAAACCCTAAACCCTAAACCCTAAACCCTAACCCTCTAATCCTTATTAAGGACTCATCCCCAAGTCGTTGGGTTCAGGGTTCAGGGCACTCAGGGATGAGCCCAGGGATGAGGGTTTAGGGTTTAGGGTTTAGGGCTCGGGGTTTAGCGTTTAGGGTTTAGGGTTTAGGGTTTAGGGTTCAGGGCTCAGGGTTTAGGGTTTAGGGTTTAGGGTTTAGGGCTTCGGGTTTAGGGTTTAGGGTTTAGGGCTCAGGCCCCACAACGGCATCCCAAATCCCGCACCTTCCCTCTACTTGCGGGACCGCATGATCTGACAAAAGTCCCTTCAGGAATCTTTATTGTTTTTCAAGACCCAGTCAATATTGTATGAATATGGCTGAGTGGACCCTAAACCCTAAACCCTATACCCTAAGCCCCATCGCAGCCTCCTGGCTCGGAAAAAACCGTGTACTTAGAGGTGCTTCAAGGGAGGATCCAAAAAGTAAATATAGACTGACCCACGAGTAGTATAGGCTACTATTTGGGGGCTTCACCTTTTTGGATGGTCTGGGAAGTAGGGTAACTGCGACTTTTGTTATTGGTTAGACTAGCCTGGTTTAGGGTACTGGGAAAACCACTTCCAAGTATGCATGAGGCTTGATGGCTTTTATTAGCCCCCTAAACTTCGAACCCGAAGCAGTTAATTAACTTTGTCAACGCACTTATCCTAACTTGTAAGTACCAAACCCTAAACCCTAAACCCTAAACCCCAAACCCTAAACCCTAACTTGTAAGTACCCATGACCCTTCAAGTATCGCGGGCCCAACCTGCGAAATCCGTCCGCTCAGGCGCGAGTGGGGATTCTTTGGCGCCGGACAGCAACCCGCCGGCTGCTGCGACTTGCCTCTGGTTTGGTCTGGCTGGGAATCTCCTTAGGGTTTAGGGTTTAGGGTTTGGGGTTTCTGTAGGCTTATATCGAAATTTGGAACCCTGATCCCCTGCACTAAGTCCCAAGCCCTGTAATATCATTTGTGGGCCGTTTGTGATTCCTGTACACTATACAAAACAGCCCTTGTTGAAGATCAACAGCCTGTGGCAAAAGCCAAGGCCCAAACCACAGGAACTTCCAAATTTTCCAGTTGCTAGCACGGGGCATCCCAAGCAAACTCACGAAACCGACCACGCGAAACTTGAATTCCTCAGCCCCCAACCCTCAACCCTAAACCGATTCCGGCCTAGAGGGGACCTTCAGCGTTTAGGCTCTGAGATGGTCCAGATGTAGGGAGGTTTAGTTTAGGGTTTAGGGTTCAGGGTTTAAGGGTTAGGGTTTAGGGTTTAGGGTTTAGGGTTCAGTGTTTAGGGTTTAGAGGTTTGGGCTGCTATGTTACCAGAGTATGTGTACACGGTGAATAGTGTGGCCTCCGATTCTGGTAATTTCATATTCCCGAACAATTTCTTTATGCTTCAGGGTGAAGGCTATCCCCTGAACCTCAACCCCTCCACAAGCCTTCCCGAAACCCGAAACCTTGCAAGCCCCAAACTCTAAACTGCTAATCGTATTCCCTTCTGGCCCCTCTTCTACAGTCATACTATAATGGCCCCCCCCCCCCCCGCGAAGCCCGCTTCTAGTTACTAAGGCCCTATATTCAGAGCCCGAATGCCCCACGTCCAGGCAGAGCTACTTCTCCGACATGCGCCGGCCTCGATTTTTTGGCACTCTGGCGTGTGCTCCTCACCCCGAAACACCCCGCAGAACCGCAGAAGCCTAAAACCTGAAGCCCTAAGCACGGAACCCGAGGCCCTTGCACCCTAAGCCTCAAACAAAAACCGCTCCAACCCTAAGCCCGAAGCCCTAAGCCCCAAACCCTATACCCTGAACCCTGAACCCCAAACCCCAAACCCCAAACCCTAAACCCTAAACCCTAAACCCTAAACCCTAAACCCTAAACCCTAAACCCTACATCCAAGAGCCTGGCATGCACAAACATCATATGACCCTCGCGCGGCGCAGAGCAGTGCCAGACTCGAGAAGCGCCCTGGATGGGGGTTTTGGTTTTTCAAGTAAGTTGCAGCTATATTCACGGTTTCAGGGTTTAGGGTTCAGGTTTTTAGGGTTCAGGGTTTAGGGTTTAGGTTGCAGCTATATTCACGGTTTAGGGTTTCGGGTTGAGTTTTTAGGGTCTTTGGGTGTAGGGTTGGTCCTAACCCGTTTTAGGGTTACCTAAAGCCTTACTGCCAAAATAGGTTCTAACCCCAAGACAGGGCGACCCTTTGCGTTTCCCAGTTTAGGGCACCTATAAGCCTACCTTATAAATAAGCTCTAGTTCCAAGCCAGGGCACCTAGAACCGTGCTTATGAACAGGGTCTGACCAAATAATTACCCTTCAAGTCGGACAGAGCCCCGGGCCCACAGAGGAAACTTCGAGAGAGTCGATTCCGGTTGATTTCCCTCCCTTTAATATTGAACCCCCCCCCCCCCCCCCCCCCCGATATTAAATACTGGGGGTGCGCCCTAGTAAGCCCTGATCAAATCCAAGTCCCAACTAACCCTAAGATTCCAGCAGAAATCCTAATACACCCTCATAAACCCAAAAAAAACTCTAATGCGCCCTAAGAAACCCCAATAAAACCCTAGTTATGCCAGCAGCCCTAAAAATGAGCACGCAGCCCGGAGCTCGAAGTAAACCCTAGTACCCTAAACCCTAGCACCCGAGGTTCCGAACAATCCCCTTAAAGTGTCGTGCGGGTTTAGGGTTTAGGGTTTAGGGTTTAAGGGCTTAGGGTTTTAGGGTTTCGGGTGTAGCTAAGACTCCCTCATTCCCACTGCAACCTCGCAGCCTAGGGTCGGGGATGTTTGGCCCCGCTCATGCTAGCAGTCCCCCCCCCCCCCTGCTTTGCGCAAACTCGGAAGTTTTTTTCGGGTTGAGTTAGGGCTTTTTGGGTTGTCGGTTTTTCGGGCATTTTGGGGTTTTTGGGTTTTCAGGGCTTGTAAGGGTTTTTAGGGATGTGGGGATTTTCGGGTTTTAGGGGTTTTAGGGTTTTAGGGTTTTCGGGTTTAGGGGTTCAGGGTTTGGCACAGTGCGCCTCTCAAATCTTCTGAACTCCAGGCCGTTGCTGCAACATCCGAAGTTTGGGGTTTGGTCGGGTTTAGCCCTAAACCCTCAACCCTCAACCCTCAACCCTAAACCCTAAACCCTAAACCCTAAACCCTAAACCCAAAACCCTAAACCCTAAACCCCCAAGGGCAGGGTTGAGGGCTTGTTGGATCTTGCGGGCGCCCGAGGAACTACTACAAGCTGTCGCAGCACGGGTCGGCCCGAATTGAGGACCCTGACATCCGCATCTGCTCCGACGTGAGGCGTCGGCATCCTGCTTCAGAGGGTTTAGGGTTTAGGGTTTAGGGTTTAGGGTTTAGGGTAGAGGTTCAGCCCAAACCCTAAAGTCCTTAAACCCCAAAGCCCAAAAACCCTAAAGCCCTCGAGCCCAAGCAATCTAAAGCCCTACAAATCTAAGGCCATAAACAAATCTAAAGCCCTACAACCCCCAAAAAGCCCTAAAAAGCCCAAAGCCCTGAAACCCCGAAAGCCCTAAAACCGCAAAAGCCCGACCTCGAAATTCCCTAGAACCCTAAAAAAGCCCTAAGAGGGTGCCCTGAGGCTTGAAACCCCAAACCCTAAGAGCCCCAAGCCCTAAGCCCTGAGCCCTAAAAGCCCTAAAAGCCCTGAGCCCTAAAAGCCCTAAGCCCTAAGCCCTAACACCCTAAACCCCAAACCCCAAACCCCAAACCCCAAGCCCTAAACCCTAAACCCGAAGCCCTAAACCCTAAACCCTAACCTCCCCCCCCACCCCCCAAAAAAAGAACACACACACACACACACAAAAAAATCAAAAACAAGTTGGTTCGCACCCAAGGATCACGTACTATAGGGGCCTCAATAATTCGAACTGGGTTTTGGGGGGTTTGTTATCGCATACTTGTATAGGAACCGTGAGGGGATACTCTGAGCAACTCTTCCGAGCCCTAAGCCCTAAGCCTGTAAGCCCCTAAACCCCTACACCCCTACACCCCTAAACCCCTACACCCCTAAACCCCTAAACCCCTAAACCCCTAAACCCCTAAACCCCTAAACCCCTAAACCCCCGAACCCCTAAACCCCTAAACCCCTAAACCCCTAAACCCCCGAACCCCTAAACCCCTAAACCCCTAAACCCTATAAACCCTATAAACCCTAAACCCCTAAACCCTATAAACCCTAAACCCTATAAACCCTAAACCCTATAAACCCTAAACCCCTAAACCCTATAAACCCTAAGCCCCTAAACCCCTAAACCCCTAAACCCTATAAACCCTAAACCCTATAAGCCCCTAAACCCCTAAACCCCTAAACCCCAAACCCCAAACCCTAAACCCTAAACCCTAAACCCTAAACCCCTAAACCCCTAAAGCCTGTAAACCCTAAACCCTCTAAACCCTAAACCCCTGAACCCCTAAACCCCTAAACCCCTAACCCCTAAACCCCTAAACCCCTAAACGTAGTGCTCCGGGCCAAGCCGAGAAGTCTCCCGTGCACCAGCTTCCATGGCCGGGGCTGAGTTTCTCAAAAACGTAGGGTTTAGGGCTCAAAGATTAGGGAATAGGGATTAGGGTTTTAGGTTTCGGGTCTCGGGTTCAGGGTTTCGGGTTTCGGGTTTTGGGTTTAGGGGTTTAGGGGCCCTTTTTGCCCCGCAAACGTCATCGAATCCCCCTAGAAGGAACTCAAGACAGGAATGCTGAACCCTGACTCCTCAGCCCTAATTTTTCGGAAGCCTGGTAACATCCTGCCTTAGCTTTCGGGCCTTTCCTTCCAAACCCTCAGCCCTGAACCCTAGACCCTAAACCCTAAACCCTAAACCCTTGAAACCCTAAACCCCGGGCCCTCAGCCTTAAGCCCTCATCTCTCAGCCATAAGCTGCGTCCGGGAGGTCGGGCTGTGAGGCGCTGACAGGAGTGCTCATTAGCGGGCTGTCGGGCGTCACTGCCTCAGGTATCCAGACACCTATATGCCCTGCTTGGAGGTTCGTAAGATCTAGGGTTTAGGGTTGAGGGTTTAGGGCTACTTGGAGGTTCATGGGGTCTAGAGTTTAGGGTTTAGGGCTACTTGAAGGTTCAGGGGAAGTCATCAGTGGGGTTCTGAGTAGTGCAACTACAATCACCACTGGTTCCTTGCTTAGGGTACTTCTCACCCTACTTGCAACTACACATGGACCTTCAAGTAGCTACCTGGGGGCTGGTCAGAAGTTAGAAGTAGAGTAGCCGCACTTATCGCCCCTACTTACTTGGAGGTTCATGGGTAAGTATAAGTGGGTTACAAGTAGGGTAACTAGAGTTATAACTGATGATAACCTTTCTTAGGGTACTTATAGCACTACATATAACTACCTATGAACCTTCAAATATAGCTTGCTAGAGGGCATTGTCAATGACAGCTCGGGAGTAGACAGCGTTAGGTTGTCGGTGGGGGCATGCGGGTTTTCACGTTCAGGGGGGGGAGGGGGGGGGGGGAGGGGGGGCGAGCAAAGAAGTTTAGGATACAGCGCAGGCAACCCTTAATCCCAAACTTCAAGTCTGCCTTCATGAAAAATTGACCAACTCCATGTGGGTTCCTGGTGTCCTACAGGGGCAACAAAAAGCCCTAAGCCTTGAACCTGAGGTGACTAACACAGTTAAACCCCAAGCCGCAACCTCCAACCTGAGATTAAGTCTCAAGCCTGGACACAAATCGCGAGACACTGAACGTTTGCACTTCCGTCTACCATGTCAGCAACCGCTCCTGTTTAGGGCTTAGTAGGGAGTTCGGGGAATCAGGTGCGTTATCTTCCTTAATGCTCCTTATAGAAATTATATGGGGTACCTAGTTCCTGAATTCCCCGCTAAGAGGGAACTATATAGCTGCCCCACTTCTATACCCGACGAAGTTTACCCATGAGCCCCGCACCCCCGCCTAGCAAGCCTTGAACCTCAAGCCCTCCAACCCGAGATCCTGCAGTCCTTTGATTCTCAACTCTAAATCCTAAAAACCGACCCTGAGACCTTAAACAGCTTTTAACTCCTCCCCTTTAGAAGCCGAACCTGAAACCCCTAGATAAACCCTCAGCCCTCAACCCTCAGCCCTCAACCCTCAGCCCTCAGCCCTCAGCCCTCAGCCCTCACCCTCAGCCCTCAGCCCTCAACCTAGCCCTAAACCCTAAACCCTAAACCCTAAACCCTAAACCCTAAACCCTAAACCCTAAACCCTAAACCCTAAACCCTAAACCCTAAACCCTAAACCCTAAACCCCAAAAACTTCTCAACCTTCAGCCTTAGAGAGTCTGCAACTCGCGCCCCCGAGGTGACCATGTCGCTCTTCTCCAGCTGGGCCCTGTGGCAGCCTCAGGGTGGAGGGGCCTTAGGTTCAGGGTTTAGGGTTCAGGGTTTAGGGTTTAGGGTTTAGGGTTTAGGGTTTAAGGGTTTAGGGTTTAGGGTTAGGGTTCAGGGTTCAGGGTTTAGGGTTCAGGGTTTAGGGTTTAGGGTTTAGGGTTCAGGGTTCAGGGTTTAGGGTTTAGGGTTCAGGGTTTAGGGTTTAGGGTTTAAGGGTTTAGGGGTTAGGGTTAGGGTTCAGGGTTCAGGGTTTAGGGTTCAGGGGGTTTAGGTTTTAGGGTTCAGGGTCAGGGTTTAGGGTTTAGGGTTCAGGGTTTAGGGTTTAGGGTTTAGGGTTCAGGGTTCAGGGTTTAGGGTTTAGGGTTCAGGGTTCAGGGTTTAGGGTTCAGGGTTTAGGGTTCAGGGTTTAGGGTTAGGGTTCAGGGTTTAGGGTTCAGGGTTTAGGGTTCAAGGTTCAGGGTTTAGGGTTTGTTAGGGTTTCGGGTTAGGGTTTCAGGGTTTAGGGTTTAGGGTTTCGGGATCTGCGTGTATTGTTCAGGGGGGGGTTCGACTTTTTTGCTGGGCCGTCCGAGGAGTTTTGGAGGTTTAGGGTTTAGGGTTTAGGCTCTTCGGGTCTTCGGGTCTTCGGGTTTAGGGCTGAGGCCCTGAACCCTAAACCAAAAGCCCGAAATCCTTTTCTTCGGGATGTCAGATGTGCCCGCAGCAGAAGAAGACGCGACTCAGTCAATCTGGAGTCTAGAGTCTAGAGATGACGCGCGCCGAGCTCAAAAGGCTCGAGGCGTTGGCGCGAGCAATGGGCGGCAGGAAGCTCAAAACGCCCCAAAAGCCCTCCAGCCCCCCAAGCCCCAAAAACATTAAAGCCCCAAAGCCCTCAAGCCCGAAAAAGCCCCAACGTCCCCTAAAACCCCCTAAAGCCTCAACACCTAAAACCCGAAACCCTGAAAACCCTAAAGTCCCCAAACCCTGAAAACCTCAAAGCCCTAAAGCCCTAAACCCGAAAACCCTAAAAGACCCTAAAAATCCCTAAAGCCCCTAAAGCCCCTAAACCCTAAACCCTAAACCCTAAACCCCAAACCCTAAACCCTAAACCCCAAACCCTAAACCCTAAACCCCCAAACCCCCTAACCCCAAACCCTCGAAAGCCGAATCTTTGTTCTCAGATACCGGCGCCGGGGCCTCTTTGCCGTGTTCCTGTGGCGCCCTCGGATGGAGAGGGGTTTAGGGTTTAGGGTTGAGGGTTTAGGGTTTAGGGTTTAGGGTTGAGGGTTTGAGGTGTTACTCCTAGGGTTTCTGTGTACGAAGCCTCCAAGCCCGAACACCGTGGAATCAAAGCCCCGACGTGGTGTTCATGTTTTCATTTCGGAGACCCTCGAAGCCCTAAACCCTGAAGAGGTTTAGGGTTTAGGGTTTAGGGTTTAGGGTTTAGGGTTTGGGGTTTAGGGTCTGGGGTTGAGGGCTATTCTGGTGTAGTTACGTGGCTTCTTAATGTGGGCCCTTACATGGGGACCTCTTTTCTACCCTACAAAACCTGAGGGCCCATACTTCAGAACCCTTTAAAGAATGTAGGGGGCCGCATTAAGGGACCATGAAACTACGTACCTTAAGAGTTCAGGGTTGACCCCTAAACCCGAAACCCTAAGCCCGAAAGCCTTAAACCCTAAACCCTAAACCCTAAACCCTAAACCCTAAACCCTAAACCCTACACCCTAGACCCTAGACCCTAAACCCTAAACCCTACACCCTAAACCCTAAACCCGAAACCCTTCGAAGGCACCGTAGCTTCGTTGCTGCCAGGCCGTACCTCTACAGCTTCTTCATCGTGCCGCTCAGCTACAGGCGCCGTCGGCCCACAGCCGTAGGGTTTAGGGTTTAGGGTTTGGGGCTTCGGGTTTAGGGTTTAGGGTTGAAGTGGGTTCAGGGCTTTAAGGGGTGCAGGAGTTTAGGGGGTTTAGTAGGGGTTGAGGCTTAGGTTTTAGTAGGGGGATTTCGGGGTTCAGGGGTATACCGCAGCACAATTCCTGGGACCTGAGGCCCAAAGCGAGGGCTCTTTGGGTTTGGGGTTTAAAGGGTAAAGGGTTTAGGGTTTAGGGTTTAGGGTCCAAGAGCCATGTCACGAACATTTGGAATGTCGATTTCCGCTTCGCAACCTTATGGAAGCCATCGACCCTTGCAGGCGTTCAGGTTTATGGTCCCGGGTTTAGGCTTGCGTGGGTGTAGGGGGGGATGCTGTACTAGCTCTTGGGGGTGAGAGCCCGAATCCGAAATCCCCTAAACCCCTAAAACTCCTCAACCCTAAGCCCTAAACCCATGCTTAACGACGGTTTAGGGTTTAGGGTTTAGGGTTCGGTCTCATTTGGGTTGTTCGGGGTGGTGCTCCTGTCACCGGCAGGTTGACAAGCCCGGACTGGAGCGTGGCAATGCAGGTGTACAAGGCGGCCCTAAACCCTAAACCCTAAACCCTAAACCTAAACCCTAAACCCTAAACCCTAAACCCTAAACCCTAAACCCTAAACCCTAAACCCTAAACCCTAAACCCTAAACCCTAAACCCTAAACCCTAAACTCTGAACCCTAAACTCAGGGCTTCGGGCAGGACACTTCGAGGCTCCAAAGCCTTGCGCCCCTAAACCCTAAACCCCTAAACCTCTGCGAGTAGAGCCTACGGTCGGGAATTCTTTTGGGGGTTTAGGGTTTCGGGTTTCGGGTTTCGTTTTAGGGTTTGAGGGCTTAAGTAGAGGAGCTGATAATTGCCCCAGAGGTTTCGGATGGTGATTCAGGTGCGACCCTGAGGCCAAAAACCCAAAGGGTTTAGGGTTTGGGGGTCCTCAAGCCATGAGCCTAAGTCCACGACGCAACCCAGAAACCACCCAGCTGCCCGGGTTATTGGCATCCTGTAAGTGTAGGTAGGCCCTTGGGACATTTTGTTTTTTTTTCTGATTGGGTAAACCCTAAACCCTAAACCGTAAACCCTAAACCCTAAACCCTTACAGGGGATAGCAATTTGAGATTCTTTTTCAGAGGGCTTTAAGGGCCAACCTAGGAAAAGCACTCTTGGCGGAACTTTTGATGGACAGGCAGATGGCGCCTACCAGCAGGCTCCAACCCGATTGCTTGATTGAAGCCAAAGCCCTGTGTAGGGTTTAGGATTTAGGATTTAGGGTTTAAGGTTTAGGGTTTAGGGTTTAGGGTTTAGGGTTTAGGGTTTAGGGTAAGGAGAGACCGTCAAACCCGTTGACCCCCCCCTCCCGAACCCCCGCGACCAAACAGTTTGTTGTTTGCGGGTGTTGGGATGGTTCAGGGCTTAGGGGCTGGTTCATGGGTAGTTACGTAGGGTTATAAGTACCCTAAGTAAGGTTGTAAGTATAGATCTAGTTATAGCCTAGAGAAATTTATGACAACCTATGAACCTCCAAGCAGGGTTTCTAGTGCCCTGCGTGCGGTTGCAAGCCATCATGGCTGTAAATCCCCGCTTGCCGCTCCAGTAGCTACCCATGAACTTCCAAGTAATCCCGAAACTGAAGCTCTAAACCCTAAACCCACATCCCTAAACCCTAAACCTAAAACCCTAAACCCTAAATCATGGTTATAAGTTTAGGGTTTAGGGTTTGGGGTTCGGTTCGAACCAGCTATACCTTTGTTAACCTACGTAGAACCCTACTTTGACATGAACCTCCAAGTAGGGGTGTCTTGCCGACCCTAAACCCAAACCCTGAGCCCTAAACCACCAAACCTTTACAAATCCCTTTATTAACCAGCTATACCTTTGTTAACCTACGTATAACCCTACTTGGGGTGTCTCCAAACCCTTTAAACATCCTGTTAAAACTCTAGATCTTTTCAAAGCCCGTTAAAGCCCTAAGTCCTTTAAAAGCCCTTAGGAGCCCGAAATCCTTAAAAGCCCTTAGGAGATTCCTCAGAGAATCCCTTCTTAAAAAGAAAAAAACCCTAAATTCCACCAGAATCAGCTCGGCAAAACCCTAAAATTCCCTAAACCCTAAAGCCTAGGCCCTAAACCCTAAGCCCTAAACCCGAAACCCTAAATCCTACACCCTAAACCTACACCCTCAACCCTAAATTCCCTCAGAGAAAGCCCTTCTAAAAGGCCTCCGCGCAGGGTCCCCAGGGCGGCCCCTCTGTCGCAGGCCTTGACTCGGGTGCAGCAGGCGGGAGAGAGCCGCCAACCCAGGCTTTGAATTTCCTTTTCGTATTGATTATGGTTGTGATGATTAGTTTTATTTTAGGTTTAGTTTTGTTGGGGCGTTCTAGGGTTTAGGGTGTAGGGTTTACGGTTTGGGGTTTCTAGGGTAGGGCTTGGGGTCTAGGGTATTTTAGGGTTTTATAGCGTATTTTAGGGTTCTATAGTGTTCTATGGGTTCAAAAGGGTTTGTAGGGTTTAGGGGGGTTTCAGGGCTTGGAGGGTTCAAGGTTCAGGGAAGGGTTTAGGGTTGGGCAGGGGGTGTAGGGTCTTAAGCAAACGTTTTGGGGGCTCAGGTTTCTGCCGATTCTCCCCTCAGAACCCTAAATGAAACATACTGAAAACTGCTCCTAATAAACCATTCTATTTACACATAGACCCTAAACCCTAAACCCTACACCCTACACCCTAAACCCTAAACCCTAAACCCAAACCCTAAGCCTTAAACCCTAAATCCTAAACCCTAAACCCTAAACCCTAAACCCTAAACCCTAAACCCTAAACCCTAAACCCTAAACCCTAACCCTAAGCCCGAAACCCCAATTTAAATGGGCCCCTGTCTCGGGCCCTGACCTTCCGCTTCCGATGTTTAAGGCCGTGGCTTTTCGCTACCGCGGCCGCTAAACCCTTGTAATTGCCCCATGAGCCTCCAAGTAATTCCGAGTAGTATTACCTTACGGTCCTTATCAAACTATATCACCCCCAAAACGCTATTCTAATTATTCGGGCACCTATATTCAGCCCGAACGTTCAGGGTCTAGGGGAGACCCCGGAGCCTCATCGCCGCTGCCTTTGGGGCTCGCAGTCGTGCCCCTGGTGCCCTGCACCCCAAGGAGACTCATCTTTGGGGCTTAGGGTTTAGGGCTAGGGTTTAGGGTTTAGGGTTTAGGGTTTAGGGTTTAGGGTTTAGGGTTTAGGGTTTAGGGTTAGGGTTTAGGGTTTAGGGTTTAGGGTTTGGGCTTGGAGTCCCAAGCCCCGAACACCGCTGCGTTTTGGGGATATTAAGACCTTTAGGCTGGTAGGGCTTTCAGGTCTGCCGGGCTGTGGCGTTTCTTCTTGGTCTTCCGGTATGTTTGGGTGCCTGGGAAGTCTTTGGGTTCCTGAAACCCGAACCCCCCAAACCCTGAACCCTAAACCCAACCCTAAACCCCAAACCACAAACCTGAAACCCCCTAAACCCTAAGCCCCGAGGCCTTTCGAGGTCTGAGAGTCTCGTGTACGTGTGCCTATAGGACCAGGGTTTAGGGTTTAGGGTTTTGGGTAAACTATCAAACCACGCATGGCCCTCTTCCTAAACCCTCAGCCCCCCAAACCCCGCACATGGATTTTTGGTTTTGAGAACCACAGAAATCCCTGCGCACGGCAGGGCTTACTTGGACGCTCATGGTTAGATAGAAGTGTGACCGAGGGAAGGGTATAAATGTATAGTTACACTACTTATAACCCTACCCACGAACCCACGTACAGACCCTCCAAAACCTGAGCTTTAACCCTTTAGGCTCTACAGACTCTCTGTTTAAAGGCTTTTTGGGAGCCACGGGCCCAAACCACCATATGTTCATTCCCTAAATTTGGGTCGCTTTTGGGGTTACCATCATAAGAGGCGGCCCCTATGATTTAGGGTACCCAAAAAGGGACCCTAATTTTGAGAAGTCGCCAGAGAGGGTTTACGAACATAGGGAACCCCCAAGAAAGATCCCCAAAAAAGAGGACTCCCCGATATGAAGGACCCCAATCAGGCACCCCTAACTTCGGAAGCCCCCATCTCAGGTGCTTGAGGTATGTAATTTCGAGCCTCAGGGTAAACTGAGTGTTAAACCAGCCAGGAGCCATGGAGGCAAAGCCGGACTCAGATGAGGCTATCAAGGCGGCTAAGGGTTCATCGTGCAGGTAAAGCTGGGGTTTAGGTTTTTTTCGACAATTAGGGAAGGGGCTCTGCTACCAAAAGATCAGACAGGAGCCTGAAGGATTACCAGCATCATGTCGGTATACGCTGTATGTATCGTTCTACGACAAAGCTACCCGAAAGTCCCCCATAATCCCTAGACCCACTGCTGATTATGAAGAGGTAGCTATGTAGGGGATTCTCTAAATTGGAGTCCCTTTTGGGGTTAATATCACAAGGCGGTGCCTAACATTGGGGGTACCCCAAAAGGGACCATCGTTTTGAGAAGTGACTATGTATTATCCCCAAAGGTAGGGCCAAGCACACTCCTAAAGCCCAAACCGGGTTTGGGGTTTAGGGAACCTTGGGTTTGGGGTTTAGGGAAGCTTCAACCCTAAACCCTCCAAACCCTAACAGAAAACCCGAAACCCGAAACCCTAAACCCTAAACCCTAAGCCCTAAACCCTAAACCTTAAACCCTAAACCCTAAACCCTAAACCCTAAACCCTGAACCCCAAACCCCAAACCCTAAACCCTTAAACCCCCAAACCCTAAATCTGAAGAAGGCGGTTTTCAAGCGCTTCGATGCCGACCAGAGTGGCAACGTGGACGTCACCGAGCTGGGGACCCTCTACCCACGTAGAGTTTGGGGTTTAGGGTTTAGGGGTTAGGGTTTAGGGTTTAGGGTTTAGGGTTTAGGGTATAGGGTATAGGGTTTAGGGTTTGGGGTTTAGGGTTTGGGGTTGAGGTTCAGGTTTCAGGGTTCAGGGTTTAGGGTTTAGGGTTTTAGGATTCAGAGTTCAGGGTTGAGAGTTTAGGTCCCCCCAAATATACTGAGTCCTAAGCCCTAGGCCCGACAAGGTTCCGACCTGGGAGGCTTTGAAGACTGCGGGGGAGGGGGTCCTAGGGTTTAGGGTTTAGGACTTTTGTGGGTTTGGGACTCATCTAAACATCAAACTGTAGACCCGAAACCCCAGTTGAAGCCTATGTCCTCAAGGGGTGTGTTTGTACTGAGCCCGCGGTTCATTGTGAGGTTTGAGAGCAATAGAGAATTCAGAGCTTTGTCGGGTTTAGGGTCAGCCAAGTGGCCTCCAGAGACCCAATTCCTCGCACAGCGCGAGAAATACCTTTTACGCGCCGGCAACGTCTCCGTGAACCTCAGCGGGGCCTTTCACATCGGCCATGATGTCGGCCACGAGCAGTTGAGATTTCGGCTTGTCGCCGCATACTTTGGCCGACTGAGCCGCAGTTCCGGGGCAGTCTGCGCATACACATGCTCGTACATCTCTACAACTGCCCTGACCCCGCAGTTCTGGAGCCTCTGCTGATGTGAGAAATATCTGTTCGAGCTGCACCATCCGTTGTTCGGCCCCGGTTTGGGGTTTAGGTTTGTCATGTATTTGTCTTAGGGCCTGTCTAGTGCTTGGGTTTAAGCCCACAACCCTAAACCCCCGAACCCCTAAGATCTGGGTCCCTCACTGTTTTGCGGGGGTTCCTAGAGTGAGGATTATGGTATTTTTGGGGTACAGAAGGGTCTCCCCCTAACCGCTCATCTTCGAGGTTAGAGGGGGGCTCCAAGCCCCCCGAAGACCTGAGACAGGTTCTTGGTCGGGAATGCGGGAAGTAGAGTTTGGGGTTTAGTTAGGGTGTAGGGTTTAGGGTTTAGGGTTAGGGATAGACCCTTTAAGACAAGTCTGCCGGGTACCTCCTTCCCTCATTCCCTACGTAAGACCCTAACCCTAACTAAACCCTAAACCCTAAACCCTAAACCCTAAACCCTAAACCCTAAACCCTAAACCCTAAACCCTAAACCCTAAACCCTAAACCCTACACCCTAAACCCTAAACCCTAAACCCTAAACCCTAAACCCCTGGTAAGAAAAGGACCTGCATGCGCCTCCTGGGCATGAACCCAACCGAGGCCGAGGTGGGGCCGCCGCCTTAAACTCACTGGGTTTAGGGTTTGGGGTTTAGGGTTTAGGGTTTGGGGTTTAGGGTTAGGGTTTGGGGTTTAGGGTTTGGGGGTTGGGGGTTGGGGTTTAGGGTTAGGGTTTGGGGTTTGGGGTTTAGGGTTCAGGGTTCAGGGTTTGGGGTTCGGGGTTGAATGAGGGAGTTAGGTGCCGGGGTAGATCTGGCTCTAAAGTATTTCCTGAATTTCTTACTAGGAAACGCCTAAGCCCGAAACCCTCAAGCCTTCGCTCTTCATGTGGTGCGTTTGGGGTTAGATTGTTTCCGTCGGATTTAGGGTTTAGGGTTTAGGGTTAAGGGTTCTCAGTTCTAGGATTCAGGGATGCGTTCTGTTGCTATTTTGGTACCTGCAAAGGCCACCGCTGGAAAAACCGATTTCTTTGGCCGGTTACCCCTAAACCCTAAACCCTAAACCCTAAATCCTACACCCTACACCCTAGACCCTACACCCTAAACCCTAAACCCTAAACCCTGAACGCTAAACGCTAAACCCTAAAGCCTAAACCTAAAGCCTATACCCTATACCCTAAACCCTAAACCCTAAACCCTAAACCCTAAACCCTAAACCCTAAACCCTAAACCCTAAACCCTAAACCCTAAACCCTAAACCCTAAACCCTAAACCTTAACCCTAAACCCTCAACCTTTTCACTCCGATATAGTCCCATGCACAGGGTTTTCGCCTTGGGTTCCCTCACCCTGAATGATACACGTCGGAGACTCTGGGTGGTCTTCCAGCATGTGCACAGAGGGCCCTAGTCATCGAAGGCCCCTACAATTTTCGAGTCCCGACTCAGGAGGCCCTAAACCCTAAACCCTAAACCCTAAACCCTAAACCCTAAACCCTAAACGCTAAACACTAAACCCAAAAGCCTAAACCCTAAACTCGAAACCCGAAACCCGAAACCCTAAACCCTAAATCGAAATTAAATCTTTTACACCATGTAGTATACAGCTCGTGATGTGAAGAAAGGATACGGTTCACTAAGTCCAGACACCGGGGACACCCTAGACCCAGCTGCTTCGACATAGTCTCCCAACAGGCTACCCAGACCCCTTGGGAGGATCCAAAAAGTAGACTAGGGTTTCGGGTTTGGGGTTTTGGGTTTAGGGTCCAACAAGGAGAT